TTGTTCCTGCTGTGAGAAGTCACAGCAGGAATGCAAAGAAGAAAGCTGGAGGTAGAAACTGAAGCAGAGACAATGGAAGAAAGCTTCTGACAGCTCACTTCATGGCTCGCTCCACCTGCTCTCAGGACCACGTGCCCAGAGGTGGCATCGCTCCTAGTGGGCTGGACCTTCTGACAGCAATCATGAATGAAGAAAATGCACTACAAACTTGCCTCCAGGCAGTCTGGAAGAAAGCATTTTTCTCAACTGAGGCATTGAGGCTACTCTTTCCAAATAACTCTAGGTAGAAACAGGATCTGGGACAGTCTCAGAAGGCTGGGATCACATGCTGTCCTCTAAGGCTGCAACATTTCAAGATGGCAAACCCAAGTCACAGAGCCCTGGGTAATGGTGTTTGCTGATGTCTTCCGGGATAAAGTGAATCACAGAGCCAAGTGCAAAGCAGTGTGGAAAGGGACACAAAAGCAGGGGTACCGGGAGGTTGGAGGCATTGTTAGAGCAGCCTTCTACACACAATTTCGTGACTCACAGGAGACGTGTGGCATAAATGAAATTAATAGGCTAAGGGAAAGAATAGAAAACATGCAAGCATTACAAGCATTAATTAATCATAAGAATTGAGATGGATATAGTAATATTACACAAAATAGAGTCCTAAACTCAGCTTTGCCAAACTTTGGCAAAGTCCAAAGACCATTATGTCAAAGGCGAGCTACTGATAAAAACAAACAAAAAGACAACAACAACAACAAAAAAAAAAAAAAACAAAAAAAAACAAAAAACAGCAAAAGGAAGTTAGCCAGTGTTGCCAAGGGAACCCAATAGATGAAAACCCAGTAGATGGTGTTGCCAGCTGAACCACAGTGAAAAACTCAAGTATCAGCAGTTGTGGGTTAGTGAGTGGGAGGAGAGAGGAAACAGCAAAGGCATCCCCTAGAAAGAGAAGTGCAAAGGACTTAACAGCAGTAACTAGCCTTTCCAGTTCATGAAGCTAAAAAGAAAGCACTCAACGTAAGTAGGAAAAACAAAACAAACAAAAACGAGTAAAAATTCTGAATTGAGAATTTTAGAATTAACATTTTTGGAAAGATTGGTTTTCAAAATGAAGAGAAGATTTAACTCACAGGTATTATTATGAATGGAAAAAAAAGGGGGATCTTGCTGCAGAGATTAGAGAAGACAAAGGACTATTGTCCTTTCTAGAAATAAACTCAGTAATAGACCAGAAAAGCTTTTCTCAAGCAAGTGCCTCATCATCACTCATCATCTCCGCCAACCCCAGAGAGAAGCCTGAGGAAGCCATGATCTTGTGAGTTATAAGCAAACTGTTACTGTTCAGTTTAGAACTTGATGGCACAAGAGTGGACAGCAGACCTGTCTGTCTTGCTGCAGCCACTGGCCACCTGGAAATGCTGGGAGCTTGGCTGGGTAATGAACAGTCGTGTGTGTTTCCTGTGTAAGCAGAGGCCCCAGAGCCAACAGCTACAAGGCATTTGAGAAAAGTCCGGTTCCACAGACGCTCCTTCACGGGGGCTGCAACACTGACAGTGAAGACCTCATGCTGGGTTATCTGTGGGCGGTGGGGCTCATTTTTTGCACAACAACAATAACAACAACAACAACAAAAAAAAAAATGAATGGTATGTAACTCCAAGGAGGATTTCCCGGTGAAGATGTGGGAAGAGCATCCTAACATCCACGTGTGTGCCTTTCCTTCCTTCGCTGCTTTCATCAGCGGTCATCATCAAAATGCCACAACATGCTTGCCATTACCCTCAGGCCCCCAGGGCGCTGTGACCATCCCATCACTCTAACAAATCACCACTCTGCTGCTGCGTGGACTCCTGCTAGAGAACACAGTAGCAGGGTGTGAATGAATGATGCACGGAAGCTGGACTCATTCAGCTCCTACCGCCCGCACTACACCCGCTAAGTAAGTGTTAAGTGTTGCAAAAGGAACACAAGATGTGTGGCCCCAAAACCCCCAGCTTCTGAGTAAGAACACTGGCAGACAGAGAAACCACCAAGGAAAACAGGACATTTTAGTAACAGCCTCCTGTGCAGGATTCCCAGCCGCTCATTTCCCAGGAAGTTGCGCTGCACTAATAACTGAACTTCCAGAGAGGTGATAACCCTATGAAAGGTGAGGCTCCCTGGTCCTCAGGTTTCTAAGGTGACATAAGGAGGCGCCCCTTAGTACGAGGTGTCCCCAGTGTCAGAACAGACCCACGAGTTCCCAGGCCACCATCTCTCTTCAGATGTCTGGATGTTTTGGGCCCTAAGAGAAGGAGCAGGGAGTGATGAGACAAATGACAAGGCTGGTGTAGCTGGGGAGTTTCTCAAGGGAGGGAGAGATGCTGAGAGCACTCGCTCAAGAAAGCCTTCGTAAAGGAAAAGAAACAGGCCTAGAAGAAAAATACCCCCATTCCCATATTTTATTTAGCAGAAGAAAAACCTGCCAAGGACTCTTTTCCACAGAAAACCTTTTTCAAGCTTTCTTTTTTTTTTTTTTTTAACCTCGGTGTTAACATAATATTCTGGTTTTAGTGCTACCAAGAATATTCCAGACTTCACTAGTTCATGACCAAATAAAAAGATCACACTTGCCTTTCTCATAGTATTCATTAAATTTAAAATAATGAGTTTCATCATGACGTTTTCTTACTTGCACGTCACACACCTCAGTCATACATTCCCTCTGTTCTGCTTTCTGAATCATCCTATTCCCCCTCTACCCTCTTCCACAGCCCTGACAGCCCCCTTATATGTTAATGTTCAAGTTTTTCTCCTCTGGCTTCCGCATAGGAGTGAACACATGAGATCTTATCTTTTTGAACCTAGCTAATGTCACTTACGTCTACCAATGATCGTGATATCGGTTCTGTGTGTGTTTGCACATATGTACACCATCTCTTGGTGGACATCTGGACTGGTTCTCTCTCCTGGATGTCACGAATGGTGCAGCCATGAGCACGGCTGTGCACATAGCCCTGAGGCCCACTGCACTGGACTCCACCAGGTGTTAGCAGTGGTGGAATAGCTTTGTCACTGCAGGTTTTGTTTTCAGTTGTCTGAGGAACTTTGTAGTGATTTCCACAGTGGCTTTGTCAGTCCCACTGCAGAGGAGAAGGGCGCCCCTTTCCCCACATCCTCAGTGGCATCCATCATTTTCTTGGTGATAGCCATTCTATCTGTAGTGAGAGAGTGCGATGTAATTTCATGGTAGCTGAGGGTGTAGGGCTTTTTTTTCACAAATGTTTTGGCCTTCTGTATTTCTTCATTTGTGAAGTTCATTTGCCTGTTTGCTGATTAGATTGTTTCTTTGGTGGCTCTTGAATTCCCAGATTCTAGACATTCTGGCCAAGATATTCTATTCTTAGGCTATCTCTTTGCTCAGCTGTTTCCTTTGCTGTGAAGAGTTTTAGTTTGCTATAATCCCATTAGCCAGTTCTTATTATTTCCTGAGATGCTGGAGCCCATTTCAAAAGGTCCCTGTCTTATATGTGGAAGTGTTTTGAAGGTGAACCAGCACAGTTTGCTGATGAGTCAGGCAGGGATACGAGTGGGCTCCCAGTTTTCGTGGCTGAGTTCTGATGAGACAACCAGATAACAGTCCGCGCCTTTCCCAAAGTTTGAGTGACATGGTGTTGAGTAGTCCACGTGAGAGCAGCAACCACAGGGACCTGTGCCAGGCCCTGTCGCTGTGCCATTAAAGTGTTCCAACAGCCTGGTAACCCACCCCCTTCAGCCCCATCCAGGCCTCCTCTCACATCAGTCTTCCTCCAGGATTAATGGTTTTCATTAGAACTTCTACCCAAACAATTGCCGAGGTGAACAGGTTTTCATGCACTGGATCGTCCATTCAGAAGCAAAAGCTTATCAGCACAGCTCACAGGAGGAGCTTAGGGTGGAATCTCACCCCTGCCGCGGCTATTTGTGAGGCCTTACACAGGGTCCTTCGGCTTTTTCTGATTCAGTGTCCTTAGCTGTGGCACTGAAGAGCCGTCATAAGGCGGGAGTTCTTGGGAGCGTTGTGCTGCCTGTATTCAGCAGAGCCTAGCTGTGAGAGTTCCCAGCCACTGTGTGCAGTGGCGACCCAGTCAGCACCTTTGACTTCTGGTCTCTGAGAGCAGAGATTTGCCCTCTTTGAGTCCAAGTTTTATCTCTTTGATACTGGGAGAAGAGCACCCGCACTGAGAGGTCATAGAGAGGTGAAGGCGGCTTCTTTGAGCAGGACTTTCTGTATCACGTTCCCAGGAATGGCAGAGGCTCTTCTGACGAAAGGCTCTTTCTTCCTTGTTTAAGTTGTGCATTTCCATCTCCACCGTGAGACCGAAGCAGGAGGAAGGCCATCCTGCCCCCTCCCAAAGGCTTGTGGTTTCCGTGTGAGGCTGGGGCGCTCAGTAAGCCTGCTGCAGAGGCAGAAACGTGAGTGTGGGCGTCTGCATTCTACCCTCCAGAGAGCGAAGTCTGCAAGACTCCATGTGGCCCCAGAAGCCACTCCAGCCCTCTCCCACGTTCCTATGGGAGGTGTGGATTCCATGTGCTTTTCTTTTTCTTTCAAAGCTGGCTGTGTGGTTCCCTTTGGCGTCATTTGCACGGGTGCCTCCCAGCCACATCCCTGGCTCTCCTGGTTTCTTGGTGCTCATCACTCTCTGGCTCATATGAGGATCTTCACCGGTGTGGTTGTATGTCCCATTAGGAGCAGGGACATTTCAAGGCTCACTTCCAGGGTGGAAATAAAGCTTTGTCCACGTTACCCAAGAGGAAAATCTGAAAAGCAAATGGAGGTTTCCCGAGGAAGGTTCCTTATATTGTCGAAATCCAACTCATTCTACTCTAGTTGTGGCTGAAGCCGGTGCATGAGGCTTTTCCTCTGCTGCTTTTGGGAGCTATCAGAGCAATACAGCATATTCCTGGAAATCAAACTGATATGTGTAGCTGTCAATAGCAAGGTGAAAATACTCTCGTGAGACTAACAAGATACTTTTGGGTTTCAGGGAACAGATCCGACAAGGCCTAGAAGAACTCCAGAAAGTTCTGCCAGGAGGAGACACTTACATGCACGAAGGATTTGAAAGGGTAATTTCAAGAGGGCTTTAAACTCTCAAGTATAAAGCATCACGTTGGAATATGCATGTGGGGACGGCTGATGAGACAGAGCATGTGGGCTGAGGAGACTAATTAGGCCCAGTAATGTGAGAGCACAATTTCCCCTACCCCATAATCTCAGGACAGCTACATTCAAAAGAACTAGGGGAATGGTTTCTCCTCCTTAGCCAGTGCTTAGACGTCACTCATGAACTTTGCCACACAAGTCCCCTCAGTTCCCAAGGTGACCTTCGTGGCTGCAGCCTCAAAGGCTGAGATGGAATTTCAGAATCTTTGGCTTTAAAGGCAATCTTTCCAAGACTCTGAGAAGAGCTCCATCCTTGTCAGCAGTTAGCTGACTTCAATGTGAGAGTCCCTTTCCCTGGACATCAGCACTGGCACTTTTAGAGAGACCTGGAGCAGTTACATTAAGAATCAAGACAGCATACGAACACCAGCTCCCTGGGCCTGCATGCGTGCTCCTGGACTGGCAGGCAGCATTGTGTAGCTAATGGTCTAATGGCGTCTTCCTGTGTTTTTCAGGCCAGTGAGCAGATTTACTATGAAAGCAGTCAAGGTAAGAGTGTAGCATAAAGCAACATGGAAAAGTGTCTCATCTGTATCTCTCAGCATTTGCTTCTGGAAGAGAATTCTTTTACATTTCAAAGTACATGTGTGCCGTGGTCCATAAAACCTCCACATTCATTTATCACAAAGAAGGAATATGAAGGAATCCCTAGAAAGATGGCTTATATCAAGCCAAATTCTACCATGCCATGCCATGCCAGGAAATGTTTTATAAAAACAATTAAGATTCCATTATGGCCACAGTCTGCAATTCCCATGAATAGCTTTACATGGCGAATTCATTAAATTAATAAATGTTTGGCTGGGTTAGTAAGCTCGTGGGTTTTTGTGTCAGATGTAATTATCTTGTCTCTCTCTGGGCTCCTGCAGTTGGATCTGATATTTAGATCAAGTTGGCTTAAACGTCTCCTCTCACTTAAATATGAACACATAAAGTATGCTTAATAACGTCCTTAGAAAGAGAGACACAATGATCATCATTATTCTGGTTATTATTCGTCTCCCTCATGGAGAACATTCCAGTATGTCACCCTAGTCTCTCCGATGAGATTCCATATAACTGTGGGGACTTTCCCCCTAATGGCCACTTCCTGTTTGATTGCAACAACTACAACAAGTAGGCCAAGCCCCAAACTCGCTCAGCAAAATCAATTTTGAGTACTGTTACTGGAAGTCTAAATAATATTGGAAGAATTCCAGTAGATTTTTTCCAACAGCTGTAACACTTCTGGGCAACTTGCAAATTCTGATAAATATTATGTTTTTAGCAAGCTGTCTTCCAAGTGTGGCATGTGTGGTCAGCTATAGCATTCAAGAAGGACCAATACAGTCCAAGTGAGGAATTGGCCACAGGCCCAGTGGCCGTTGGTCACTGGAGCTGTTTGCAGTGATTGACCGGCTCAGCGATTGTGTCGTCAGGCCAGCCTCTACGCTGAGATGTGGCTGAGAACCCGGAAGTCTGACCCTACAAAGGCATTCTCCACGCTGGAGATGCTTCCACACACAAAAACAAGATTGGTAGTTCTCCCATCTTCATTGTCAGGGACTGAGCTTATGAAGAGATAAAAATCTCAGGGGGGAGTGGGGTGGACCCTGGTGGCTCAGGATGAGTGAGAGGGTTTTTGCTGTTTTAAGCAGGATACAGGACAGCGAGTGTCATCATCGCACTGACGGACGGGGAGCTGCATGAAGACCTCTTCTTCTACTCGGAGAGAGAGGTGAGTAACTGCCGCCGCATCTCAGTGTGGAGATGGGACCCGGCATGCAGCCCAGGGCTGGAAGTGCCTGGTGTGTGCCTGGCGTGTGTGAGGAGACAGGGCCTTTCTCTGGCATGACCCAGCTCTGTATTCAGGCAAAATGATAGTCGTTCTCAGTAAAACATGGAAGTGTTTCCTGTGTAAAAATAATCACAATAATTCATTTTTAAACTCAATGTTCATGTCTCACACATAGCAAACTGTTCCCTACTTTAAAAAAAATCCACTATGCCTTTGTTGAAGGCACTTTATTACTTTAGCAGCTTAAAAATGCCATATCCTTTTTAAGAAAAAAGTGTTGGTAGCAGTCTTCTTCCTTTTCCCCCCATATTTTTCCACTAAAGCAATCAAGTAGAAAGAACTTCTTGCGGTGCATAAGAACTAGTCTGCCAGGGTAACGTTCAGCTCCTCAGTCCAGGAGAGCAAGCTGACCAGAAGCTCATGCAACACTCTTTGTAGCTCTCCGTATTTCTCCTTCCCTTCCCTTTTCTAAGGTTTTTTTTTTATTCCACTGTATTTTAGAAAGATTTTACAAAAATGTTTATTTATGTTCTGTCTATGAGTATTTTGCCCACATATATGTAGGTGCACATATTGTCTGTAGAAGTCCAAAGAGGGTGCCAGATGCCCTGGAACTGGAGTTCTGTGTGGGTGTGAGCCTCCACGTGAGCGAGGGTGCCCTCAGAGGCCAAAGGCATTGAATGCCCTTGGCATTTGAGTCACAGACTGGTTGGGAGTCATCTGATGTGGGTGCTGGGAATCAGCCCGGGGCACCCTGAAAGAGCACTGCACACTCCAAACTTCTGAGCCATCTCTCCAGCCCTCCTTTCCTTTTCTTTATGCTCTCAAACATTACTGCCCAGAAGGAGGGATCCCCAAGGCCTCACCCCCTAGTTCAGAAGCTATTGGCAGCTGATGGTTGGAGAGAGAGAGAGAGAGAGAGAGAGAGAGAGAGGTTTTTTTCAGAGGTGAGAGAGAGAGAGAGAGAGAGAGAGAGAGAGAGAGTGGTTTTTCTCCAGAGGTGTAGTCACTGGTAGATGACCTCTATCCCAGTGCATGAGCCCACGGATACATTGAAGTCTCATTACAGACACAGGCTCTCTCAGACCCAGGTGGACATTTACAGAGAGGAAAAAGATACGAAGTGGCGGTGGGTCAGATACTGGAAGACATTGATGGCAGCATTACAATTGCCTGGGGCTTTTGACCACTGTTTGGTTTAAACTGAGCTCCATCCACAAGTGTGAAGTGGTGTGTTTGTTCATTCTGAGCTTGTACTGGCTCTGCTGTAGAGACACACGAGAGAGCAATGAGCAGTTGCGGGGCACAAAATGCTTCCTTACTTCTCTCTCCCATGAGCACATGCCTGGCATGGGAAACACAAACTAACATGACAGATGCCCTGACCATCTGGGGAGCAGTAAGTTTCTGTATTCTAAACTTAAAACTATGTGGTGGAATGCGAAGTGGCTTATTCAGGCACCAAGGAACCGTCAAATTCAGTAAAAAGCCCTAATAAGGAAATAAAGCACATGATGAGTGAGAGCGGTTTAAAGTCGACGTTAGCCGGGAGCAATTTTAGGTATGGCACATACAGACTTGGAAGGCACTTGGCATGTTGATGCCAACAGAAGAAAGTGTTCCCAGAGAAGACATAAAGAGCATGGACCCTCCCTTTCTCCACGACACCCCCACAAAGCCCAGCTAGAGTGGGCTTTACATCCCAGCGTGGATGTAGATGAGGCCAGGGCTACACTGTGTCTTAAAAGTTCTTTTCATTCTGAATACAGCAGGAAAGATTCCCAACATCAAGGAGGAAAGACAAGTTCTGTCCCATCTAGAAGTCACTGTGGGAAAGAAGTGGGTTTGACTTCTCATCAGGGGAGAAAATAGGATCCAAACCAGCATGCACATATTGGCACTTGGTGCTTAGTGTTTATTATTTTGGGGTGCCTGTTCCATGTGTTCTGTTTTCTATCCTGAACACGGGGAACCTGGAAAGGAAGTACCAAAGCAAATCAAATACCTTTAATAAGTCAAATATCATTCAGCCAAAACCTGGGTATTTTTCAGCGTGTTGCCTTCTCAATGGTTACTGTAGGGAAATTCCTGGCTACTTATTCAAACATGAACTTAACATTAGACCGCTTTGCTCCGTGGCTGTGAGGAAGGTCTGGTTCATAAACGACGCTGACTATTAAAGCATCACACTGTCAGTGAGCTCAGTGCAGATGACACAGTTAATTCCCTGGACACCTTACAGAATGAAGCCAAGTGTCCACTCAAGCACATCTGATACCAACAGCCATATTCCTTTCTAATACTGTGTGGCCATCCCAAACAGAAAAAAAAAAGTCAATAAACCTACTTCAGGAATAGCAATGGTGGACGTTTTTCCTACATGTGTGATGTGGTTTACCTGCATCCGTCATCCCTCTTCCTCCCTTGTCCTTCCAGAGCTGTCACTCAAGCCTGCTTCGGCAGGGGTCCCCCTAAACTGACCACTACCTCCTGGTCCACAGGCTTTACATAAGCCTTTGATGAGCACAGGCTCCCTGGGATCTAGATTGCTCCTTTACTGCGGCATCTGCCACACGGTAGGTGCTCAGGGAACACTGCATCGTTGGTGGCAGTCTTGAAATCAAGAGGAAGACACCTGCCTCTATGACTCCCTGTAACACCCTCTGTCTCCTCAACACAGGCCAACAGATCTCGAGACCTTGGTGCGATCGTTTACTGCGTTGGCGTGAAGGATTTCAATGAAACTCAGGTATGAGCCCGGCCCTCCTCCTGTTTGGAACGTGCTGAGCTCAGGAGTGATGTGCGGCGAGCGCGTTCAGCATGGCGGAGGCATCTGCAGAACACCTACCCCTTAAGTAGGAAGTTTCTCTAGGAAAAGAACAAACTTCTGGCCATGTGAATAATTCAGCCTCTGCTGCTGAGGTTTTGGAGGACATAATACAGAGCACCAGAGCACATTTCTCTTGTTTAACTTTCGTGGCAACATTGAGTCACCAAGGTGTCGCCACAGGTTTCTATTAACTTAGAACAGTTTCTAAAGATTTTAATTTGACAAGTACAACTTTCTTTTTCAAGTGATTCCCTTTTGTTTGTTAAAAAAAATGTAACGTGTTTTCAATGCAAAAATGTAAGACTAGTTGGAGAAGTCTGCCCGGAAGTAGAAACCTGCTACCATGCTAAATAAGAGCTCTCCCGTGTGGGTCATTGCTGTTTTTGTTCTAGTGGCACAGTATTCTAAGTTATTAAGTGAATAACATAGGGTTACAAGGCAGTGAGAACAGCCCTGCCCACTTTTAGGGGAAAACGCACACATATTTGCACTGAAAAAGTATGACAGTCTATACATACCCAACTGTCAATAAGGATCACCTACAAATACACAGCAGAGGTCTGTTCTGAAGAGGCCTTGGTTTTCCTTTATTTTAGCTCTCACAGTTTTCCTAAATTTTCTTTGTGTGTTACTTTTGCAATCTGTAAAAACAATGAAAAACTATGTTAAAACTGCCATGGCCTCTGCAGCCCCAGAACCATGACTGTGGGGGGTCCCTGGTCAGCTGCTCCTCGTCCTATGTCTCCTGCTTCTTGAAGTGGAAGACACAATAGACCTGTCCCTCGTGGGACCTTTCATCAGCTTGGTGCAACGACAAGGCCTGGGTTTAGTTCTCAAGTTGCTCTGAGAGAAGCCTAGTGTGTCTGATTTGGATAAATGTACCAGCAGATATTTGGAGGAGAAACAAGCCAGTGGTCCCCAAATCTACTGCTTCCCCCCAAGTCCTGTGTTCATGCAGCTGGCCAGTCTTACCTACGCTCCCAAGAAGGAAAAGGTTCAAACAAATGCAGAGCTGGTGTCACCCCTCACCTGCTCCAGGGGTTCCCTGGTTAGCGCACTGCCTCTGAGGGCCCCTCAGCGAGGCCCTCAGCCTGGTGAAGGCTCCAGGCTCCTCAGGGTTCAGAACATTGGTCTGGTGTCTGCCCCAGATGGCATATAGTAACTTTCCATAGTCTTCCACGTCTTCCATGCCTGACATGTCTCTGCACATGTTTGTGTGTCTGTCTGTTCTCAGCTGGCTCGGATCGCAGACAGTAAGGACCACGTGTTTCCTGTGAATGATGGCTTCCAGGCTCTTCAAGGCATCATCCACTCGGTGAGTGCTGGCTTCCTCTGGATGGCTGATCTATGGTTAAGATCTCTCTCTCGCTCCCAACCCCCTCCTCCGCCGTGCACACACTATTGTTTTTCTGCTTGAGAGATCATACCTTCACATATCTTTGTGTCTACTATGCCCTAGGTCTGCCTTCAGCCTTTCAATCATGCTTCTTTTCTTTCTCCTGTGCCAACTCTATTCTACAAGATGAAGAGGCCTCTGCCCTGGCAGCAAGCCAAAACCCCAGTCAGCCTTTGTTCTCAGAGTCTGGGCCTGACTGGCTCCCAGCCCACCCAGCCATGACTAAACAAGGCTGCCCATGAGCCAAGGCAACACCTGTTTTGTAAAAAGCATCTAACAAGTTACAAAGTAAATCATTACAAAACAAAAAGTCAGGCAGAGCTATACTTGCAAGGCAAGTCAGCTCTGAGATCATTCCCAAGACACCCCACTGCAATCAGCCAAGGTGGATCCCGAAACCCACACACCAGGAATGCTTTAGACCATGGATATCTGTAAGCAGATGTTTTCAGAATTATGAAAAACAGTCTTACTTCAGGCTGGAAATTTCTGTCTTAAATGTGTACAGACTGAAAAATGGAAATTTACTGAAAAATGGAAAGAACTGGGAAAATAGAGGGCTATCCCACCCAGTTGTTAGACCACAGGGGAAGAATTTCCTACATTAAAGGATGTTTGGATGGGCAGGCAGGATGGCTCAGTAGGTAGAGGTGGTTGCTGCCAAACATGACTCCCTGAGTTCAATCCCCAGAAAACCCCCACGGTGGACGCAGAACCAGTTCCCGCAAACCTCCCTCTCAGCTCTGCATACATGTGTACACCTTTCTGGGGTCATCGTGGCATACTTGGTAATGTGAGAACCAGAACTCAAGCACCTTGTGAAACAGCAGCCTCATACTACAAAATATTAACAGAAGGACTCAGTACTGCCCATGGAGCCTGTAGAAGCTGAGCAGGAGGGTGGGCGCTCTGTGAGAAGGTGGGCTGACCAGATGGCTGAAAGACCCTGAGGGGGGTGGGTGACCCAGGGGAGAGGAAGCCTGGTTCCAGCCTCTGCCCAGGGGCTGGAGAAGAGCAGGGTTTATCCAGGGGATGATAGTGGCAGCGCTGACTGTGGGTGGCTTCGGGGGTGGTGGAGAATAAGCCAGCACATTGGCCTGGAACAAATTTGCAAAAGCATTGGAGAGTTTTAGCTGCACCTGCAGGCAGAGGGTGGTGTCGATGAGACACTTGTTTTAGCTTTAAGTGAACACGCAATAACTGTACATCTGGGGGTCAAATGTGATTCGGCCAGCTTTATTTTCTGAGCTCTAACCAAGCCCAACCCTTCCAAGATCATAGGAGATCAGATACAGTCAGCATGGTATAGCTGTAGGCGTGTGATGTTAGGACAGGTACACAAGGTCAGGCCTGTGATGTCCCGGTACATATGCATAGCGGTAGAGAATGTGGCGTCTCCATAGAAACACACAATAGTAGACAGGGTGATACCACAATACATTTACACACTGATCAAGCCAGGGTACTTAGCACCCTCGGCGCTCTCTCAGTTTTCTGTGTTTGGGGAATTTTAGCTCTTCTCTGTGTGCATACGTAGGACCCGCACCAGGCCAGCTTCTGAATGGGGCCACGTTCTTTGCCCTGTTGAAGCTCTTGTGAGCCAGATGACCAGGGTCTTTCAAGAGTCAATTCCTGCGCAAATAATCAGCATTTCTATCTGTGAGAGTCTGGGTTGTCCTTGACTGTTTCAACATTAGTGACCCACCCAAGCTCAATGTGAGCCAGGCTGTTTGTAAAACTGCTCCTACCCCCAAAATGAAATAACTCAAGGATGGGTTACAGGTTCTAGCAGGACAGTCCCCAAAAAGGAAAAAAAAAATAGTAATGATTGCAGACTTTAGTCTCCAGACTTGAGCTGAATGGCGGCATTCTTGGGAGCTTTTATCTGGGAATTATATCGGTTTTGATCCTCCCAGGACTGGAACCCCGTGTTTATGGCGGTTGTTAACTGGTTTGCTTGGACAGAGAGAGACAAGTATGGCAGGGCTCATCCTTCGCAAGTCAGACAATGATAATTATGGCCTAAGAGCTGGCTGGCTGCTTTTAAGAGGTGGGTTCTGTTTCCTTTCCAGTATCAGGAACGAAAGCCATCATTTCCCCCCAACACCCTGCTCATTCCCATCACGGTCCTGTGGCTGAATATCTTCTGGTAATAAAATAGGACTGGACTTAATTATCTAAAATAAGGTTGCAGAGCAGCTTCTGATGACTCAGACAGGTCACAGAGGTCTCTGCATTTCCAAGACCCCAATAAAGGGCTCGTGCTGATTCACCCATCAGAAGATCACTGGGAGGCTGGGAAGGCGGCTCACAGTTGCTTGCCTGGCATTTGTGAGGCCCTGGGTTCCGTCCCCAGCATTACCCCCACCAAAATAAAGAAAAGAAAATGCTGACTACAAGCCTCTTGCTATAGATACTGGCCATTCAGTTATGAGTGAAGCAGGAAGTGACCCCGTCCCAGTCAGGCCGAAAACCTATGGGAGAGATCCATAAAAAGCAAATAATATGAAGTTAAATTGTATCAAACAGCTTGAGGAAATAACATAGGCTTCAGGTGAATACTGAAGGGGACGGCGGTGACCCAGGCTCCTCTTAGAAGAGAACCTAGAAGATGAAAAGCAGCTGCCGGCTTGGAACTGCAGGGGGTGTGGTCCTGAGATGGGGCCTGGTAGAATGACCAGGCCATGTGTAAGATAGAGCTTGGCAGATGAGATGAAGGCTGTGATTTTAGCTCTCGCACAGCCATGTGCAGAGTCTGGGAATAAGCAGCCATCTCCCGAGGCTTAGGTAAAGAAGTCATGGTGGCGTCTTACCCACAATCCCCTGGAAGATGAATAGCTGCTCAGAACCAGTAGGGACAAGGTCTGTGCCTGTGAGAGGAACAGGAAATGTCACTGGGGATGACAGCAGGGAAGACGGGGTGGGGGAGGGCGGGAAATGGGTGACAGCTGCTCTCTGAGGAAGCACCTATTACTCCGCTAGGCCAGGCCGTGGATCTACAGGCAGGTTGGATAAACTGCCAGGATGGTGGGCCAGGAAACCTGCACCCAGTGGTGTCTCCAGAAGCCCCACCTTTTCTAGCTGGGGAAGCAGGGAGTAGATGCTGGATGCCCAGGACTTCTTTTCCCAGGGGACAGGTATTCCTGGATCTTCATCAGCCTCTCTCTGATGCCTGTTTTGACCATTTCAACATCCCTCGAGCCTCCCTATCCTTACAGGAAGTACTTCTCTGCCAGAGTTAAAATCTATTGTGTTCATCTGTGGGAGATAGAGGCCAGAAGAAAGTCAGCAGTTGGGGTAAACTGACTTTTAACAAATGCCCCTTAACACTGTTCAATATCATCCCATTTAAAAACCCCATCACTGCCATGCAGTGCCTATTTTGTTGCCATTTGCTGGCAAGGAAGCTGATGCCCAGGTAATATTCCCCTGGGTCCAGAGCTCCAGGGGGAAGCCCACAGTTCCTCCTCTCTCTGTGTCTTTAAGGAAGAAAATAAATAAGTAAATAAATAAATAAATAAATAAAAGCCACTCTGTGCAGCCATTGGGATGAGCAAGCCACTGAAACCGCTCAATGATTGGTTGGGTGGTTGGAAAGGTTTGGTTAATTGGCCAGGACCATACATTGCAGCAAGCGAGCGGTGATTCAGGAGACATTACCTGTGTCTACTCAGGAGAGTGATCCCCACTCTGCCGAGTGTCAGCCAGAAACAGCTCCGTTTCAGACAGGGAGCCTCTGAGGACCAACTACAGGAGACATCGCAACACAATTCACATGGTCACGCAAAGGCACCAGAATCCAGCCTCCCAGTCTTGAAGCACACCGGCTGGGTGGGGAGTTCTCTGCCTTTACCATTGGGGTAGAAGCACTTCCATAAACACAACTGGTGCTCAGTGGCTCATGCGAAGGGGACAATTTGTGAATTAGACTCAGACTGCATGGTCCTTTGGGTAGGCATTTCTTCTTTATCATTTCTTCCATCTGAGTTTTAGCCAGCCACAGCTCTGCGTAGCTTCTGAGATCAGGCACATTTGGATGGGATGGCTGAAGATGTAAGCTAGTATGTCTATTCTGTGTGTGTTTAAAATCCCTAAGGGAATAAGACTCCCATAGCCGAAGACTGCAGACTGCAGAGGGGACCATTCAGGTGGAAAGGAAAGCCTCACACGTGGGCAGGACTTGCTTGCCCTCTCAGGCCCCCGCAGGACTCCTTCTTCAGAATATGGGGATACATTTTAAAGAGCCTGCTCATTTGTCTTCTCTCATTGCGGTTGACTGGGGAGTTTCCACTGACCACCACTTGAATTTGCCACCGGCTCTGCAGGGAAACCTGGACTCAGTGATTCAGTCATGTTCCTGGGCCTTTGTTCGTCCTTTCAAAAGGGCTGTGGGCAGTGACGCCAGAAGACGCACAAAAGCTGGATCCAGATAACAGTGAAATGGATTAGCTGCTCTGATTCTTGACATTTGGCCCAATGACCGTGACGTTTTGTCCCCAGCTGTCCCCACTTACTGCAGCAGTGTCTGGGACCAGAAGTTATGGGAAGGGGAGCCCAGCCATTGGCTCCTCGCATCTGCACCTCAGAGGCTTCCCCTCCAATGGATGCTTAAGAACATGCCTGGATCCCTATTAATTGGAGCATGAGTCAGCGCATGCAGCCTCTCTGTGTTTGATCAACAGTAAATGAGTGTTAAGCAAGTGTTGGCCCAAACCTCCTCTTAGGAAATCTGTAGGATCAGCAAACTGGGGACAGATCTGCCCCATAAGTATATTTAAATTTGTTTTTATTTTCTTGTGCTGATTTCTCCCTTCTTCTCATAGGAAGGTAGAAGAGATACAACCCCCACCCCCACCCCACCCCAGACTGGCCTGGACCTTAGCAAACTATGACAAAAGGCAGAGTCTGTCTTCTGGGCT